TTTCACCGACGGTTTGTGTTACGAACCGGTGACTTTCACCGACGGTTTGACTTATGCTGCAGCATAATAAAATTCAAAACTTTTTCAAACAAAATTGGATGAAAACAAACTTTATATCAAAGTTGTAGATCTTGACGAGATCTACAACTTTGTAGATGATGATAACGTTTTCGTTTGAAATCATTTACGGTCCCATAATTCTGTTTTGAAGCTCACATATTTTAAAATTCAATTTTTTTGAATTGTACAAACAACCTCAGATGAAAAAATGATCAAAATAAAAATTATAGATATCGATGTGATCTACAACTTTGTAGTTGAAAACTTTTTCATTAGAAATCATTTAGGGTATGAAATTAGTATCTAAAGTTATAAAATTTTGAAATTCAAAATTTTCAAACGACCTCGGATGGAAAATTGAGCAAAACCAAAGTTGTAGATCTTGATAAGAACTAAAACTTTGTAGTTGATAACTTTTTCATTTAAAATCATTTGAGGTCCCAAAAGTATGGCTGAAGTTTTGACGATTTGAAATTCAAATTTGTCGAACGACCTCGGATAACGATCGAAGTAACCAACATCAAAGTGGTAGGTCTCGAATAGAACAACAACTTTATAGTTGATAACTTTTTCAACGATGTCATTTATGGTCATAAATATTTATTTCAAAATCCTGAAACGTAAATACTAGAGAAATGAATATGCTATATAGACACAACCGACTTAGGGGTGGAGTGGTTAGAGCAAATACGTGCAAGGACACAAGTCTTAGGTTCGAATCCCAGCTTTATGCAATGTTGGGATTTTCGCACGAAAAAAATCATGTGACTTATGCGTTATGCGTGTGGCTGGCTCATGGAGCTTTGCCGGGATTAAAATAAAATTTTTAGCTATTTTTTTTACTCGAGTTTGGAATTTCTGGAAATCTTGATCACCGCCGGCTGGTAACATGAACCGGTGGTGATAACCGTGATGAAGATTCTTATCACCAATCGCCCTGTTCACTTGGTCGTAAACGATCGTAAATCTCTAGCCAGAACAGTATTTTTCTCTCACACCAAACCAGCCAGCAGTAATAATCCACGATCGTATACGATCGTTTTAGCCCCAGCCGAACAGGCTGAATAACTTTCACCACGGAGGGCCAAAACTAGCGGTGATGAGGGGTCTGGAACCGGCAGTGATGAAGATTCTGTAGTAGTAAAATCTACATTTCCGACCTTCATCATATTTTGCTTCACCTCAAAAGAAAATTAATTCACTGACCTTAATAAAATAATTAAGAATCTTTTAGATTATTACCGGATGAAATAATTAAATCCTTGTATAGGTTCATAAAATTCCAGCTAAAATTTTTTTATGAGCCATGGACTCAGCAAATTCAACGGGCCTGTTCCCTGTAGCCTGAAGCTGCAGCTGCAGCAAGTGTTCATCGGCTGTAAGATACTTAGCCTTGATCTTAAAATGCTGCAGCTGCAACGGCTTTCATCTGCAGCGAATGGGACCAATATATTAGAACATCGTATAAGTAGACAAACAGGCCCATAGACAATATTGACGCCAGACACAATGGTATTTAAATACAGGGAACTTTTATCAGGAACAAAGTATATAACATCCATCCCTCCACATATATAACAGTTAAACTCAAAAGTAATCACCTAAATAGGTGCATATCAGCATTATTTGAGGCCTTTAGGGATTAGAGCCGTCCACCTACAATTCCACCAACAAAACAAGTAAGCAGCTAAACCATAGAGCGCTTTTTGAGAGACATGAGCGTCCCTAAGATACTGACAAGTACACCAACCACTGAGAAGATCGCGAAGATGGTTCTCTTGTTCTTGTAAAAAAAATGCATGCACCTTGATCTGCATCCTCCTCTTCACCTTGTACTTCTCGATCTCCATCATGATGCGGACATAGCAGTTGGATCCACGTAGGGACAGGCTCTGAAGTCTCGTGAAGAATGTCAGCGCGTCCTTGTTGATGAGCCCTGCTCCTCCTTGCAGGAGATGCTTTGTCCGTAGGTCCTGCACTTCCTCCTCCCTATGCACCAGCAGGGAGAGGAGAAGAAGGTACGAGCAGACGGCAGAGTCTTCAGGCTCAGCTTCCTGGAAATTGGAGGTCGTGCACAGCTCGAGAGCCGCCATGTTGATGAGGAAGCTGGCACGTTCGTCGTCCAGCGACAGCGGCGCCATGGAGAGCTCGGCGAAGATCCCTCTCTTGTTGACGCCCATATGAATGAGCTCCGTTGTTTCTTCATTGGCTTTGAGCTTGATGCCATTTTCAGCAAGTTCAATGGCACTCACAGAAAATGATATCATGTTGGTTTTCACTTGAGTGGGTGGCTTGGTGTTGCCTTTTCCCACAATGTAGAACCGAAGGAGGCCAAGGAGATGCGGTGGCTCGAAGCTGGCATCCAACACAAGAGGCTTTTCGCCGCCGAGAAACTTGCGGTCCTGCAGGTACTGTTTCCAGAACGCGACGAAGGCTTCCAGGTCCACGGGCCGGAACCTCGTGATGGCATCCACTACGCTCCAGGGGATCTGGTTCTCGAGCAGCACGATGTCATGGCGGATGGCCTTGCGGTTGAAGTCAAAGAAGCCGCGCAATGATGGATTGATGGGTCCATGGTACCGGAACCATCTGTGCTACAAGCAAAGTACTGCACCAAGAAACAAGCATCATAGAACATCATGGTCAGGAAGTCGTCTTGGCTGATCCGTGCCATCACGTCCTTGTCGTAGAGGCTACGCGCATCATAAGCGGCAGAGATGACTGCATCATACATGTCCTGGACTGAGTGGCCCGACTCAAGATGCAGTGGTAGGCAGCCACTTATTTCGCTTTCTCTGCCTGCTTGAGCTGGTTCTGGCCATGGTGATAAGACCCAATGGCCACCAACCTTGGGATGGTAAAGAATTTGTCAGCAAATGCTTGGATGCTTGGAGGGTACATATGGATCTTCATCTTCATCATGTCGATATCAACCTTGAACTCGCGTGCTGCATCCTCAGACACATGAATGGGATTGATTGGGATCTTCATTCCCAAATTATGGAAGTGAGCATCAAACTCTTGTGCTGCTTTGTCAATGGAATCATCATCTGCGGCTACTGCATACTAAACCATCTGCCATCCGCTAGATGTTTGGAGCCAGCTTCTACCAAATGTCTCAGTCTACTCCGACTCTGCTGGGTAGCCACAAGCCCATCCTGCATATTCCATGGTCCAGTTCGACAGTTGAATGTCGAAAGGTCCCCATGCCGCAGCTGGTTCCATGCTCCAATCAGTGAGATGAAGAGTACTGTACAAAAAGGTAGAAATGTTATATGGAAAAGAACTATACACAGATCACATAGAAACTGCTCGATACCTTACGAGAAAAGGACAATGTCATGTTCATTACAAACACACGTCCAAGGTGGACTTGGGCACGCGGGTCGTCGAGGTTGACAGCCTTCAGGACCTTCCCAAGCCCTTCCACCGCCATCACCTCTCCCTTCTCCTCGGCTTCAATGTCGTGCAGTGCACAGAACGTCGCCATCAGGATAGTGGCCTCATCCTCATCCTCAACTTGCGCCAGATGAACCTCAGCCCTCTTCTCCTGCTTGCGATTTGGGCATTCACTTGCCCAATGGCCCGTCTTCCCGCAGCGCCGGCAGGCGTTGGGGTCGACCTGCTTCTTCTTCTCCGAAGAATCCTTGCCGCGGCGCTTGCCATCGCCACCGCGGCTGGAGGAGGCTACCCCGGTGTTCCTCCAAGCAGCCCACTCCTCTGTCAGCAGTAGCTTGCCGCTGTCCTTGGTTACTGTCGCCTACTCCAGGCGCTCGTCCACCGTCCGCAGACAGCTTGTCACATCCTCAATGATGAGGGTGGACAAGTCCAGCATCATCTCTATGGAGAGACCGATCTGGATGTACTTTGCCGGCACGGAGTGGAGATGCTTTGAGACCACCTCCTCTTCGTCGATGGTGACGCCGTGGCTCTTCAGCTTGCTGATGAGCGTCTGCAGGTGGAGAGAAAAGTCCTCCACCGATTCACCATTCTTGAACATGAGGTTGGCGTACTCTTTGCGCGGTCCGAACCGACGCGCTATCACCGCAATAGCCTCCCACGCCTCCTTAGCATAGCTTTTCGCCCCCAACGGCTCCCTGTACTCCACCGGTACAGCAGCGAGGATATCATCCAAAGCTGACATGTTGTCTTCTTCATTTTTGGTGCCCTTATCAACAGCATTCCAGAGCCGTCGGGCTCTAAGCTTGACCTTCATGGTCACCGACCACTCGCCATAGTCGGTGCGAGTCAGCGTCGGCCAACTGGTGTCGCTGACCTCCCGCACCATGCGAACAACGACCTCCTGTCGTGGCTGGGCAGCCATAGCAGTGCCACTGCTGTAGTCCATCTCCAAACCTTCCGTCATCGCCAGCGGTTAGTCCGGCGACGCTGCTTGTACGCCTCTGATACCACTTGTTGGCCCACACAGGATCACCGGCTCAGGTGAGTCGACCACTCACCAGTCTTGCCGACCACAACTAGCGTTGTCCGACCACACCCAATGGTTGGAGGTAGAAGAAGGGAGGAAGAACAGAGCATACACACAGCAAAGACACCAGCGTTGGCCGGAGCTCTGTATAGGAGATGGCAAATCTGAAGTCTCTCTTTACTTAGTTGTAGTGGCAAACTATATATACAACTCTATCTATTTAGTCCTAGTACAGCTGTCATGCTGCTACAGTGACAAGATGAGACAGCAGGACTGACTCTGGCGCATGCCCCTGCTGTGCCTACAGTGTAGTAGGTGAGCCGTTCGACGTCTGCCCCTGCAGCGGCTACAGTACCACAGCATGGTACCTTTTCGACGCTGCCTTCCCCTGCCGTATATTCACAATACGAAGCAGTAGATTATCTAGGTGTCTATTGGCCCATACCACCACGCCCGAGACCACCTGAAGGCGGCGGAGAAGGTGAAGCACGTGGCTGCATACCACTGCATCATGGAGTCAGGCCACTCAGCCGAGGAGGTCTATGGGGCGGTCGTCGCCGTCGCCGGCTATGCCCGTAGCATCTATGACAGGAACGTGCTGGACAGCATCGGCGACGACGTGTTCCTTCCCATGATGTTCTACGACGCTTGCTTCCTGGTGCAGTACATGCTCACGTGCACCGACGCCGGCATTGCCCACATGGACCCGGCGCTGCGCAGCTTCTTCGACGCCAACAACAAGGACGTCTATCACGACATCATGCAGCTCGAGAACCAGCTCCCATGGCTGGTGGTCAGGGCCGTCATGGCGTTCAGGCCCGTGCCATTGAAGGAGTTCGTCGCTTCCCTGCGAGGCTGTCTGCAGGACCGCAAGGACCGGCACGAGAAGCCGTTCGTCATGGACGACGCCTTTGAGCCGCCGCACCTCCTCGGCCTCCTCCGGTACTACATCGTCGGAAGAAGCGACGTCAAGTTGCCTACACTACCGGAGACCGAGTCGATGTCCTTCTCCGTGAGTGCCATCGAGCTCGCCGAGATCGGCATCACGCTGACGGCCAGCAAGACGAGCGAGCTTGTCTACATGGGCGTCAACAAGAAAGGGAACCTCTTCGCCGAGCTCTCCCTGTCGCCACTGTCCCTGGACGACACGCGCGCCAGCGTGCTGCTCAACATGGCGGCCCTTGAGCTGTGCGTGACCCCAGCTTTCAAGACGCCGAGGACGAGGCGTCGGCCGTCTGCTCGTATCTCCTCCTCCTCGGCATGCTTGAGGACAGGGAGGAGGACGTGCACGAGCTGCGGGCCAGGCGCGTCCTGCAGCGAGGAGGAGGGCTCACCAACAGGGAGGCGCTCCGCTTCCTGACGAGCGTCCAGGGACTGCGCCTTGGATCACGCTACGTCCGCATCATGGAGGAGATCGAGGACTACAAGGTGAACAGGAGGACGCGGACCAAGCTGCACGCGTTTGTTTACAGGAATGTGAAAGTCATCGTAGCCGTCATCTCCGTGATTGCTGCGCTTGCCAGTATCATAGGCACAATCAGGTCTCTCAAATCTCAATAAGGTCTATCGATGATCTACGATGCTGTCAGTGTGAGATGATCCAACTGTTGCTAGCTAGTTTCCATTGTAACTAAAATTATTCCTTGTATCTGAATTCTGAATCCCATTTGCAGTAAAATGCAATGTGTTGCCTTCTTTCTGATTCTCTAGCTAGTGTGTTCTGAATCTGACAGTACTATTGTCTATTCCATCAGTTGGCCGCGGAATCTGCTAGTTGGCCGCACACCATTGTTGCTTTGCCAATCCTGTATTTTCCAATTCTTTCTTCCTGCAATCCTGCTGTCTTCTCTTCTTTGAATATATATCAACTTGGTGCAAATTGTAACGTGGAGTTGATACGAATTACGATAGAATATGGTTAGTGGTAGCTCTACATCTTATGGTCAGTGAGATATGGAAGGTAGCACCTACCATGTCAGTACGTCTGCATGCAACGACATTGATGTATATATATATATATATTATACCCCAACTTGGACTAGTTTTGAGCAAGCTTGGCCTGTTGTTCCACTATTTTCTTTTATTTTCTTTTCTTCATACACGCACGCAGACCCACCCAAAACTTCATGCACATAGTTGGATAGAGACACAGGCAGCGTATTATTCAAGTCTGTCAATTGACTAAAGCAGCGGTAATGATTTTTTTGTGGGTTGGGCAATCGAGCGTTTCGTTGGGCCTGCAACACCTGGGTGATGAAAGGGCTAGAAGCACCCGAACGTCTGGTAGACAGCCCCTATTTCTTTGGCGGTTATCTGCCTCTACCGATACTACGGGAAACAGGGCCTTTGCCGAGGGCAACTTTGTTTGCCGAGGGCTAAAAGTCAGGCACTCAGCAAAGAATATTTTGCTCGGCAAAGAAGACTTTGCCGCAATGATATACACTCGGCAAGAAGACTTTGCCGAGTGTCAGACACTCGGCAAAGAAGACTTTGCCGAGTGTTAGGCACTCGGCAAAGCCAGACACTCGACAAAGGCCCTTTTTGCCGAGTGTCAGGCCCTCGGCAAACCCTGGCGCTCGGCAAAAAGCGACGTCAGGTACCGGCCGCCGCCTGCTGTCCAGGTTTACCGAGTGCCAGCTGGTAGGCACTTGGCAAACCACTTCTTTGCCGAGTGCTGGACCCTGACACTCGGCAAAGAATAACGGCAAACTATTTTTTTTCGCACTTTTGAACTCCAAAATTTTTGTCGAGTCCTCCTACAGTACATGAGACTCCATGTTAAAATTTGGTACATTTTTATGGGTTTTTGCAATATTTAGTTAATTTATTTCATTTGATTGAATTTTTCAGAAAATGCAAATTTGAACCGCACATGCATCGAATAATTGAATTTAATGATTCAAAAAATGATATTCATGGTATTGAGTGTAGTGTGAGGCCGTATCCAGGAACGGACCCGAAATTTCGGACATCTTGTTCACGAGACATGACCACGAACTTGCGGACGAATTTTTTTTAAAATTCTATAAAATGCAAGAGAAGTCCAAAAATCATGAAACTTGTCGAGATGTCATGATATCGTATGTGGAGGATGTGATAAAAATTTGAGAAGGTTTGGTGCGTTATCATGTACGATGCTTACAAACCGTGACATCACCACATGTGATATCGAGATATAGCAGAACGTGGTGGACAACATCGGCCACGACGTGTTTCTGTCCATGATGTTCTACTACGCTTGCTTCATGGTGCGAGTACATGCTCACGCACACCGGCGCCGCCTTGCCCACATGGACCCGATCTTCGCGCGCAGCTTCTTTGACGCCAACGACAACGACGCGTCTATCACGACATCATGTACCTCGAGAACCAGCTCCCATGGCTGGTGGTCGTGGCCGTCATGGCGCTCGGCCCGTGCCATTGAAGGAGTTCATCGCTTCCCTGCGAGGTCGCTGTCAGTAGGACCGCAAGGACCGCACGAGAAGCCGTTCGTCATGGACGACGCCTTTGAGCCGCCGCACCTCCTCGGCCTCCTCCGGTACTACATCGTCCGGAAGAAGCGACGCTCAAGCTGCCTACACCACTACGCCAGATTTGGACATCATCATGAGCCTCATCACTTTGCCGGATTTACGAGAATCGGCGGTGGTGTACCTTCACTTCTTGGTTATGAACTTGAAAATGAGAAAATGATTGGGACTAGGTTAAAACCGGCGGTAAAGCACCACATCACTTTGCCGGTTTGTGGCTTGAACCGGCGAGTATTTTGGCGTTACTCATCACTTTGCCGTTCAAGCCACAAACCGACAAAGGATTGGGCTCTATCACTTTGTCGGTTCTAGCCAAGAACCGACGGTGATAAGCCTCTGAACACAAAAAGGCTGCAGCCATCCTCTTCTTCCTCCTCTCTCTTCCATCCCGAGAACAGAGGCACGTGTTTGGGCCCTTCCTCCATTGTTGCGACTACTCTTCACCATGAAGCTAGCACTTGGATTTTGAAGAATGGCTTGATCTTTTTGCTTTAAGGTTAGTAACAAACATCCACTCCTTTGATTTAGTTGCTTAATTAGCTTCGTTTTGATGGCTACATTGCTTGATTCTCATTCTAGTTCTTTCTCCATTCTACAGAGCACTTTTTCAATTGGACATTTGTGCAAGGCTCAAATTATGGTGAATCCATCATCCAAACGGTTGGTGTCTGTGAACACATTTAAATTCTTGGCTAATTATTCCATGGTGGTCAAGATCATCATTGTTAGTATGTGATGCTATAATTAGTTCTAAGAAGTAGAGTAGAATAGTTGTTCTTCAATATTGTGCAATAGTTGTTTTTACTATAATTTTCAATTTACAGGGCCAGGGCTAACAATTTCAATTTTTCAATAATTAGTGTACAATAATGTTTTCCAAAAATGGTACTTTCGAGCTACAATTGTTGTTCATGAAGCTCGATTTCTTATTAATTCTTTGTAATTACTGTCTCAATATTTTTTTTGTGCAGAGATGGATCGACAGTGGATGCATTTGTCCCGAACAGACAAGCGGTACATGCATGGCGTCAGCCAGTTTATCACTGATGCCAAAGCCCATGCTGGGAATGGGAACCCTGTCTTCTGCCCATGCAAAGATTGCAAGAATCAAAGGAACTTTCGTCAAATTGAGTCTATACGATCGCACTTGATTATCAGGGGGTTCATGCCAAACTATACGATATGGACTATGCATGGCGAGATTGGTGTGAATGTTCAGCAGGAAAACGATGATGATGCGGACATGCCTGATGTAGCCATCCACGATGGTGACAAGGAACCCGGTGTCAACACGGAACCTATGCCCACAGTTAATAATGTGTTTAGGAACATGCTAGCTGATGACACCGAGGATAACGATGGCATTTCTCAGCTGCTACGTAATGTAGAGACCGAATGTCTTAGTAAAAGACAGCTGAGAAAGCTAGAGAAAATGAGACAAGATGGCAAAACACCATTGTATAGGGATTGTCCAATGAGCAAACTGGAAGCCGACATCTTGCTGTTAGAGTTCAAATTGACAAACGGATTGAGCGATAAAGGCTTCGATAAGTTGTTAGGTATAATAAGGAAAATGCTCCCAGAAAAAAATGAGTTGTCAGAAAAGACATACTTGGCCAAGCAAATATCGGTCTCGAGGTTGAAAAAATCCACACGTGTTCCAATGATTGCATATTGTACCGTGGAGAAAAATACAAAGACTTGGACAAGTGCCCCAAGTGCGGAGCTCCATGGTACAAGGAAAGGCCGTCAGATGAGGGTACCAAGACCAGAGGAGGTCCCGTAAAGGTCGTTTGGTATTTCCCTATAGCTCCCCGAGTGCATAAGCTGTTTGCATTTTCAAAGTCAGCCAAACTGTTGCGCTGGCATGGCAAAGAGCATAAGGAAGATATAATGATGAGGCACCCCGCCAATGGGCATGACTGGAGGACTATCAATACTATGTTCTATAAGGACTTCGGTGGAGAGGTAAGGCACCTTTGGTTTGCTTTGAGCACAGATGGGATGAATCCTTTCGACCAGGTTAGAAGCAATCATAGCACCTGGCCAGTGACGCTCTATATATACAACCTTCCACCTTGGGTCTGTATGAAGCGGTCGTACATCCAGATGCCACTACTAATCCAAGGGCCAAGACAACCTAGGAATGACATCGATGTGTTTCTGGAACCAGTGATCGATGAACTAGTGGAGATGTTTGAAAAGGGTGTGCTGGATGTTTGGGACGAGTACAAAAAGGAACATGTCACGATCAAGGGAGTACTTATCGCTACAATCACCGACCTGCCAGATTGAGGTTCGTTGTCCGGAGAGAAGACAAAAGGCTATACTGGATGTGTCAAGTGCTTGGACGACACCAATGCGGTAAATCTGCCAAATAATTCAAAGATAGTTTATACGGGACACCATAGGTTCCTACCTAAGGATCACCCTTACCGAAGGAATAGAAAAGATTTCAACGGTACTGCGATACTTCGAGAACTCAACAAACCGGAGGTTGTCCTTGGGAAGGGGGACAATGTAGTAGCAGCGCCTGATGGGAGCATTTGGAAGAAAAAATCTGTATTCTAGAAACTACCTTACTGGCCATTTTTGAGTATACGCCACTGTCTTGATCCCATGCACATCACTAAAAACATGTGCGCTAACACTCTTAACACCTTGATGGACACCGGGGGGACATCGAAGGATTCACTAGCCACACGCCTGGACATGCAACACTTGGGAATCAGGAAGGAGCTGCATCCCGTGGAGCTAGAGAATGGCCAGTTCGAACTTTTGGTTGCGTCATGGACATTGAAGAAGGAAGAAAAGCGTGCGCTTATTTCTTTCTTCAATGAACTCAAAGTCTCGACGGGTTACTGTGCGGACCCAAAGAGGCTAGTGAACATGAGAGAACTCAAGTTCAACTATGGCCCTATGAAGGCCCATGACTGTCATGTCATTATGACTCAGCTGCTCCCTGTTGCCCTGCGGGGTATCCTCCCCCAAAGGTCCGCGCCCCAATCATAAAGCTTTGCTCATTCTTCA